TGTTATCGATTTTGCTATCGATTTTGTTGTCGATATTTTTATCGATTTTATCATCAATACTTTTATTGGTTTTGTTACCGATATTTTTAATCGACTTTGCTATCGATATTGATATCGCTTTTGTTATCGATATTTTTATCAGTTTTACTATCGATATTTTTATCGATTTTGCTATCGATGTTGTTATCACTTTTGATGTCGATATACTTNTTGTTATCGAGTTTGCTATCGATTTTGTTATCGATATTATTATCGATTTTGATATCGATATTGATATCGATTTTTTATCGATATTACTATCGCTTTTGTTATCGATATTTTTTTCTTAGTGTGTGCTTTCGTTTTTGACTTGGATATGCTCTTAACCATACGACGTATTCTACGTTTAAATTTAGCGGCTGTATCTCCGATACAGCCTGCAGACCAAGACGAAGGTGCTGGACTGTTCCTTTTTTTTATATTTAATTGCTTATAAAAAAGTAACGGAACACAAATTTCTGTTGACATTTTTTTTTGCACGCGCTAACTGAAAAATGAAGATAGAGTGCTGGAATTTCGCCACAACTACTTTTTTGTGACGAAAAACTAGTACTTTCATTTAACACTGTCTAATACTACATATGCTTGTTTGTTACTAAAAAATCGCAACAAAATCTACGCTGACCTACGCAACTGACCATAAAATAATTGAGTAACCATATGATTAATTAGTATAATATTGAAGAAATTTCAATTACATTTAAGAAACTGTGGAAAAAATCAATTTCCTTACCGTTTTGCCCCTACATTTACAGCACAGCTGTTCCTTATGTATGTACTTAAATATTCCCAGCAAGAGCGCATTAACTGTAAAACGCGCATGCGCTAAACCCAAATGTCTATTAAAATAAGCAATGCATACCGGCTGATAACAGCTAAGGGAGAAAAACAGCTGACTGTATTGCCGGAAAATGATATAACTGTATGCACACACACGTAGTTATTTATATGGGAGCACAGATGTGCCAGCTGAGCTCAGCTAAGTGCCAAAAATAAATAGATTCACAAACAAATGCTCTCATATACTTCCATACATATACTCGAGCATACAGCTACAAATGCATACATATTTTAACATGCAAATAACAAAGAAGCAGCGACTGGGATAAATAATGCAAGTGTGGGTGTAAAGGATATATGTAAACAAAAAAAACAAAAAAAACTAGGATGCCTTCGAAAAATATGCAGCGAACATTTTTCCAGGATTTTCGTATTTTGCTACAGGTATGCATTGCTAGGCGGATATGTATTTTTAGCAAACTCAAGTGTGTATTCACGTAAACAAGTAACTAACTAAACAAACAAAGTAATTAAGAAAACCATTATTAAAGTGTTGTGGATACGTATTGACTGTTTCAAGGACGATATGAATATTAGGCATCGATGATCATAAGCGGCGGTATTAACGAATTTTCTATCCAACAAAAAAAAAAAAAAACCGACGAAACCAGCCAAAAAAGCTAGGCGATTTTTTTTTTCTTTTTGATGCAGAAATACACCTAGAGCAAAAAGAAAATTACTTACTCATTACTTAGTTAATCATTTGTACGCAAAATTTTTAAAAGCAAAAATCTAAATTCGCTGCCAAGCGCAATTATTTTTATTTACATTTCATCATAAAAAAGCATACTTACTAAAGCTTATCTCTAATGTATTGCGGGTCATTTAACCCTCATACATAAATCCTTATCCGCAGTAATATAAATAGCGAACTTACTAAAATTAAAAAAAGTATAAAAAATTAAACAACCAAGCTGTGCAAATTTTCTCCGCTTCGCTCAATAAAGATCTACAGAGTTCGCTTTGCTAATAAAATCAGTCGCCAGCTCCTCGTTGATAGCCTCCATAATGCGATGATCATCCAGAAAGTTGTTGCTCATATCGCGCTCCAGCGACTTATATGAGTCGGCGTTAAGACGACCCAAGGCGCCCTGGTACAACACTTCCATAATAGCTTTGTTGGCATACAGCTGCTGATCACGCTCCAAGCGATGATAGAGCGCCACCCAGCTAGCGCCTAATGTCTGCGCCTCCATAGATAGCTGCCATGATGTTGGCGTTGGCATAGACGCTAGCGTCGGCTCTGGCGCGGATGCTATGTTTGTGTTGGTGGGTGTTTGGACAAACTGAGTCGCAGCTCCATTTGGGGTGATCAAGCCGGCACTTTGCGGCAGCGCGCCGTTAGTGTTGCCATTGCTGTACGGCGCCACGGCTGCTTGTTGCTGTTTTTGCTGCTGCTGTTGCTGATGTTGATGTTGAGCAGGCTGTTGTGACGCTGTTGTTGCCGAAGATGAGGCGGAAGTTGTTGAGCTCGATTCACCACTACTCTCGCTCTCAGAGTCCGAACTGGTCGATGAGTCTTTTTTTACGATTTTCTTAGAAAGTCTTTTATTTACTTTTGGCTTGCGTCCAGGTCGTCCNAACTATAAAAAAAAAAAACGATAAGAGAAAACAAAACAAAACTCTTTAAACACAATAATTTAGGTCAACAAATGCTTTACCTACCTTGCCCTCAGGCGCATCACGTTCGGGGTCGAAATCCAGTACATCATCGAGAAATTGCATCTCCTTGAAGTAGAACAAAGTTGGCCTATACAAGATGTCTCCCTTTCTCTTGCTATCCTCTATGCGTCGCAGCTCACGCCGGTAACAAGATCTTAAACCATTGATACGCCTTTTCACATAGTCCATTTGTACGTTCGGATCTATTTCGCGTAGCTTATCTCGCAGCTTGTTATAGGCCTCGCGCTTTAGATACGGTTTTTTGTATGCCATACTTCGTGTATCCCATAGCGCAGGCGAATTCTGATAAATTTTTATAAAATCCTTCCAGAATTGTACGCCACCACCGAGACATGTTACACCGAATAGTTCAGATGACATCTTCCGATTTATTACTAATAAAATGATTATCTTTACGCTCGGAACGTAAAATGTATACTAAACTCTGTGATAAGACGTGCTACACGTTGTCAGACGCGTTCGATGACAAGTTCGGTGAGCATCAGCGTGCAGCGTTGCCACATGATAAGTAATTAGTGAGATAAGAATCAGTGATGCCAACCGTTGGAGAATTCCCCGATTTCGGTGGAATTTTAATTTCCCGGGGAATGCGATTTAAATTTTTGGGTGTTTAATAACAAACTATTTTGATTAGAACATTCCTGTTGGGGATAAAGTTGCACTTATAAATTACAAATTGTGATAACACTCTCATTTTGTATGACAGGTTTGAAACATTACGTAATTGGCACATGCAACCGTATGGATATTAAAGAAATTGCAACTGTGCATATAAAAAATGAGTTTTAAGTGCCTTAAAAATGTAGCGAACTTCATTTCGGGGGGAATTTCATAGAGAATAGGGGATTTTTTTTTAGGGATTTCGGGGAATTAGCCCCAGGGGAGTTGGCATCCCTGATAGGAATTCAAAATGTTACTCTCGGTAAAAGTACGAGAGGGAGAGAAAGATCGCGGAAGGCTAGAGGGCATCCTTGCGTTTGAATATTTTCGCTCCGTCGTGGGTTCAAATTGCATCTTTTTTTTTAATAAAAATTTTTCGAAAATTTATATTTTTTTAATTAAATTTTTTTAAATTTATGAAAAAGTGTACATACTTGAATTTTTAAAAATGTTTAAACAAAATATTTGTTTCGCCAAATATTCTTTTTAAGTTTTATGCAAAATAATGTTTTTTTTTTACTTTTTTAAGTTTCAAGAATTAAACGAATTTTTATTTAAATCGATTTTTCCTGTTAGTTTTTGATTAAAATTTTTTTTGTTGCTCACTTTTTCACTTTCAGGTTTTCTACCACCCAATTTTTGTCGTTTTGAAAAGATAATGAAATTTTATTTTTTTTTTTTTTTTGTATGTAGGGCTTCTAAAAGGCAAATAATTTATTTATTACCTCATTAATAAAATTTGAATAGCCGAATTTGCACTATGTAATTTTGTGGTTCAATTCATACGCTTGTATGTACATATGTATATGTGTATGTACACATTTTTATATGGAATTTAATTTTGACGACAAATTGCTCAAACAGAGGTGCGTTTCAA